TAAAATAAAATTTTTAAAAAAGGAAAGAAACCTTTAAGTAATAATCAAAGCATGAAATAAATTAAAACAATTGCATTTATTGAAAACCATTTTCTTCACTGGATGACAGTACAGAAAGTACAAAGAAAAGTCAGCACTTTCTCAGTGATATCTACATTGGTAGTTCCCAAATTCAGACAGAAGAATTAAACTTTAGGGAGGGTTTGTGCAAATTATGGAACACTTAAAGATCTGTGGTTAACAGGTTCCATTCATTTGATGATTCGTCTACATTGAGTACAAAATTCAGGTGCATGTAACATTAGGACTAAGTAATCATGAACCAAAAAGATAAACATAAATATATTCATATAAGAGATTCTTAGGCACACAGAAAGGAGATGAACTAGTACTACGGACTTCAGAATTTTCCAGTATTTTTAAAACACTAAGACAGCCTCCACACACTGTTACACTTCTCACAGAGTTTGTCTTTCATCCTGGAGAGGAGTGAATCCAACCATGCTATCTCTGCTTTGGTTAAAAAACTAGCAGTTCTCCACTGCCAGGATGAAAGGCAGGCAAATCACCTGGCATTTTTATAAAGGAATTGGCCAATCGTAATTCTGGTTCTAATTTGTCAAGATTTCATAAAATGTCACCAGAATGCATCTAAAAGTTCATTAATAAGGATAAGTTAACAAAGCTATAGAAATTACATTAAGACATGAACAAAAATGTCTGGATAAGGGCAAGGAGGAAAGCTGGTACATTCTCTAATATATACTATACTTAAGGCCATGGCCTCCTGCAAGCATCACAGACCCATATACAGAATGCTTAAAGCAGGCTTCACAGGACAGGTGAATGTTCAGGAAGAAACAAGGAAAAGAATTTAGTCTCAGAGAAGCACACTTCATACTCACCATCATAAACACAAAAGAGATGGTCATGAGAAGGGTTGCTACGGAGGCCACACTCTGACCTGCTGCTATGGCCAGTGCCATGGAACTGGCTGTATAAGCCACCAGCAGAAGGGTAAACATCATGATAAAGAAAGCCTCTGCCACTGGTTTCAATCCTACGAAGAAAGGAAAGGGTCAGTGCAGCTGCCCAGGTCCCCATATATTTGGGTCACTCACTATCCAACTGCCCTGGGTCACCAATTTCATATTTTCCTTCCATATAACCACATGAAGTTATCATACAGTTTTCTTTCTTGCACTTACTGCAAAAGCATTTCTCCATATAACACCTGTCCTCCTGTCTGTATAATTACAAACAATTTCTGAGTTTCTGAGATGGAGAGCTCTAGGCAGCCCAATGGGCCACAATTCTACAGCCTTCTCTTCTAAAGAAAATGGATCAACAGCCATTCATTTACCAGACATCTCCACAGCACTCAGTGCGTGCTGTGACTGCACTACTGAGGAAACTGGGGTCAGGATTCCACTGCTACTGCTACAGATCACAGACTCTGAAGATTTGGGAATAGGTACAAGGATCAAGACTCTGGGGGTCTAGATTCCATGTCTAATTCTTTATGAATGTGTCTTGTTTGTACAATGGATGGTAAAACTCAAATAGTGGCCTTATCTACAGCACATTGTCAAAAATAGATATTCTAGGGCCCGGATTTAGCTCAGTGGTTCTGCCGCCTGCCTCACAAGTGCAAGGTCCCGAGTTCAATCCCCGATACCAAAAGGAAAATAAAAAGATATTCTAATGTTTGTGTATCAGTAAAATATACGGAAATCCTGATGCAATGAGCCTGGAATGAAGACTGAACATAATACACAAGTTAATGTGTCTATATCTATCAAACAGGTAAATAAGTAAACCCAATTCTACCATATGTCTTTTAGGAATAGGTAGGAGGGAGTATATGTGCATATATTAACCTTTTTATCTATCTATATATCTCCATATTTCTACAGAGATATAAATAAAAATATAGATAGAGAGAGTGGCTTCACCTCATAACCAAGACTAAAGACATATCCTTTCTGTCTTGTTACTTACCTAACATGAAGTACAGAATACAAGTAAATATAACACTTGGCAACAACCTCATTGGTAATAAATCAGATAATAATTTTCCAAAGAAGTAAGATGCCACTCTGTAGTATCCACTGATATACTCATGTCTACAGAAGAGAAACACACATCACATATCACAGATTAGTTTAAAAAGGCAGAGATCAGAAGATAAGATGCATGCTGTACAGACTTCTGCTGCCAGCCAGGACCTAATATGCCGGTTTCCAAGTCCTTCAGGCTGCCCATCCCCCCACCTTTCACCCTCTTGGGTGCCAGCCCCTCTGGATAACCAGCTCCAGGAAGCTCTCACTGTAAATCTCTCTCCCTGCAGAATTCCCTCCTGTGTCTGTCCACTGTGGTCCAGAGCCCTCTTCCCAGGGCACAGAGTATGAATCTCCTTACTTTCCTCAGAGACTGCTTCTCCTGACTCAGGCTTTCTCTAAAGGACAATGTTTCAGGGACTAATTTCTCACTAGTTATGGAAGGTTTTCTTCTCCTCACTTCTGATTGTTAAGAAGATGATGTTTTTTTACAAGCCCCACAATGCAGCTTCAGATCAGTGCCCTCTTTATTTCTTCTATTCTTATATTAGAAAGAAGGAAGAAAAAGAGGGAGGGAAGGAGGAACGGAGGGGGGTGATGGAGGAAGGAGATGGAGAAAGGGGAAGAGGGAGGGTCAGGAGGAGGGAGGGAGGGAGAGGAGGCATAAGAAAAAGAAAAAGGGAGAAAGATCTCCTTCTTTCAGTGATCACACCTCTGAGCATACAGCCCTGTCACTGTCAAATCCTAATCTTCTTCCTAACATTACTCTCTCATAATTCTAATCTATTCCATCAGTATGTTCATTCTTTCCCTCTCTGATGATTCCTTTCTTTGGCATGTAAATATAGGCAAAACTCTTCCATCCTTAAAAAACATAAGAAACAACCTGGCCTGCTATTTTACTGTGAAGCTGCCTCTGGCTCTTTCCATTCCTCCACTCACCTAGGGCAACTCTTAGTCATATTCTTTATTAGCTTGACCTCCCACCTCCAATTTGCTGAACTCATCTTTAAACTTATATCCCTCAAACTTGTCTTGTAAGTGTCATCATGATCTATCATTTGTTAAAAATTTAAAATATAGTTTTAAGCCCCTTATTGTTGCTTTCTCAGCAGCACTGGGATTTTGCTCACCATACCCTCCTATTGAAACCCTTTTCTCTTAATAGCAAGCCTCCTATTCTATTGATTTTTCACCCAGTCCCTGATTAATTTTTTTCTACTACTGTAATATTATTATTAATCTTCATACATACCTCAATAACTCATGTTACACATCCAAAATACATATATGTAAATATAAATATAAATATATATATGTAATATATATGAAACAAAGAAATGAAAGAAAAATACTAATAATCCCTAGGATGGCATCTTTGACCCATCAGCCCCTAATGCCCTTCCCAGAACAAGAACCAACTCACATGAAGAGCTTCTTCTCCACTACAAAGAGCTCCACAGCTGATACGCTGGTGAAACACTGGTTGGTTGTCAAGAAGAACAGCACCCCAGCTCTGCCAGGACAGAATGGGAACAAAAGCACCACAGTCAATGAAACACTTAGGTCAGTCTTCTACCCAGATAACTCTTTCCATGAATGATATAATAGTCAACAGAATTAAGATTTTAAAAATGTAAAGTTATTCTGGCTAAAACAGGGAGGGAGAAAAGTATGGCCCCCTCAGGCCTCTCCCCTATCTCTCTGTCTCCATAGTGGGACCCCCCTGAGTGCATATTACAGCACATTTTGAAATTCAGACTTAGGTTGTTGTGCATCAAACTATGTTCCCCTAAAATTCATATGCTGAGTTGGGCATGGTGGTGCATGCCTGTAATTCCAGCTCTAGGGAGGTTGAGGCAGGAGGACGACTGCAAATTCAAGGCCAGCCAGGGCTACATAAGTTCAAGACCAGCATGTGCTACATAGCAGGACCCTGTCTCAAAAAGAAAAAAAAGGAAACACTTCCTAAAAATCATATATTGAAGCCTAAACTCCCAGCATGATGTTACTTGGAGATGGGGTGTTTGGGAAGTAATAAGGTAGATGAGGTCAAGAGAGTGGAGCCCCCAATTTAGGATAGTGCCTTACAGGAGGGAGAAATACCAGATACTCTCTGCCAGGAGAGGGCACAGAGTGAACAAGGTCATCTGAGTCAGACTGAGGTCCTCACAGGAACCTGGCTACAGTACTGAAGGACAATAACTTCTATGATTTAAGCCACGCAGCCTAAGGTATTTTGCCCAAGTTCATACATCGGTCACAAAGACACCATCACATTTCACTTAACAAAAATGCCAGGTATCATTCCTAAACTCTGTACCGAGAAACAGCAAGCTAAATTAAGTCTAAAAACATTCAATTACCCTCATTGGTTTTAAAACTGAGAAAAGAAATAAGGAAGACATGTAGAAGGAAAATAAAAGACAGAGGAGGGAATCCTCACTAGGTATCTCCTTACAGATTTCTACTACACTCCCATCAGTAAAGCCTTGATAATTGTCCCTCACATAGGACAATCCACATGGTTTCTGAAGAGCTCTAAAAAGAAAAAAAGGTAAGGCTTAATTATAAAGACTAAATTAATCTGTCCATCCATATGAAAACTAAGACTTATGGGTTATTTCTCAATAAAATAATTGAGATTTATAAAGCAAAGTACTCAGTTAATCTATACTTTGATGGAAATATGAACTTTATGAAAGCATAGAACAGGGACAACTCCCTTCATAACCAAACAATTTAATTCACATGGCAGATGTTAATTAGAATTGATGATGTAGTGCATTATTTAAATGACACCAAAACAAAAGAATGTTTCTTAAAAATGTAAACCTAAGTGAACAACCCCAAGTATCCACAGATATTCAATAATTCTTGTTTAATACCTAAAAACTGAATAAGTAAGGGTACAGGCTGTTTTAAATGTAAATATTTATACAATAAGTAAAATGAAGAGAAAACAATCAGGCCTAGGAGAGAAGCAGCTATGAAATTTACCATATGAAAATAAATTTACTGTCAACATAAAGCTAATTTCAGAAACATGGGACATTTTTTGTCTTACGCCTAATATACAGTAATGTTCATAATGATTCTGAACAAATGAACGGTGAAACTCTTCCTAAATCACAAGATGATTTATTTTATATTAAATGGGTTTTATTATGAAAGAATATAATATATTCTAATTTTTTCAAGGTAGTAACCTACATCATCATATCTACTTGTTAACCTGATTTTTAAAAAACTTTTAAATTATATGACTGTAATTTACATGGTTGTAATTTATAGTTGTATAATTGTAGGATGTAAAGAGATACTATGATTCATGAGTACAATGTGAAATAAATCAGGCCAATTCAAGTGATAACCATTACCTCAAATATTACCTCAACATTTTATAGTGAGAACATGTGAAATTTACATTCAATAATTTAGAAATATAGTATACATTATTTATTATCATCTCCAAAGCATAGAATGTATATCAAAGAAAAAAACTTACACTTCCTATCTGATACTTTGTACCCTTTGACTATCATTATTCTCTACTCAGTCTCTAGAAATCACTATTTACTTTTTACTTCTAAGACTGCAAATGTTTTACATTTAATGTTTAAGTGAGAACATGTGGCATCTATCTTTCTGTGCCTGGCTAATTTTACTCAATGTATGCTTTCCAGTTCTATCCATGTTGTCGGTTTTTCATTTTTATGGCTCAATAGTATTCCACTGTGTATACAACACCATATTTTCTTTATACATTCACCTACTGATGAACAATTAGACTGATTTCATATCTCGGCTATGAACAATGCTGCAGATATCAACAAACTGATTTCAAATATTTTTAAAAATACCCAGAAGAGGGATTACTAGATCCAAACTTTTAAAAATATATATATATATATCACTAATTTGTTTAGCTACCCGGGTGATAAAGCTGCTAAGTCAAAGGAGCTCATGCTCTACACATGATTCAAATCCATTTTCTCAGTTACTACTACTTACTTTACCCTGAAATTAAAAAAAAAATCAAAATGCATAAAGGAAATTAGCTTGCAAGCAATGGGAAAAAACAGATAAACTGGTCATCAAAATTAAAAATGTTTGTATATCTACAGAGTGAAAAGACAACCCACAGAATTATATAAACTATTTGCAAATCATATATCTGATAAGGGATTAATATTCAAGAGAATGTGGAGAAACAGGCACCCTTGTGTGCTACGGGTAAGAATATAAAATGGTACAGAGACTGTATGTAGACAGTAGAGTAGTTCCTCAAAAACTAACATAATTACTGTATGATCTAGCAATTTTACTTCTGGTGATATATCCCACAGAACTGAAAGCAGAGATTCAAACAGAAATTTCTAGACTCACAACAACATAAATTCACAATAGCCAAAAGCTGGGAGAAATACACTATAATACAAATGAACCATGAAGATCTTATGCTAAGGGCAATAGGTCAGTTAATCAAGGACATTAACTAATGAATCCACATATATGTGGTCCCTACAGCAGTCAAATTTAGGGACATAAAGTAGAATAGTGGTTTGTAGGAAGTGAGAGAGGTGGACATGGGAGATGACTCTTTAATGTAATTACTCTTTAATTTTATGGCAATTTGATTTAGGAAGACAAAAAAATCCTGGAGTTAGATGGTAGCACTGTACAACAATGTGAATATACACAATGCCATAAAACTATACATTTAAAAATGGTTAAAAGGGTAAGTTTTATGTCCTAAACAATTAATCAATACACATATATAAGTATGTGCATATGTGAAAAAGAAAATTAACTCTTCTATTCAGTTTTTTTTGTATTAAATTGTTTTATTGGTACATTGTAGGTATACAACACAATTATATTTCTCATTGGAAATTGTACCTTTATATAATGCACCTTGGTTCTTATTTTTTCCCCATTCCTAGCCCTCCCTTCACACCCTCCACCCTTCCCTATTTACAAAGACTTTATTTCCATTTTTTCCACTTCTCATCATTTTTTCCTTTCCCTTCTTTCCTTTCC